CCAGAGTCATAGTCCAACACTCAAACCACTATGCCACACTGGCTTTCACACAAGTAATATACAAATAATCAAAGGTATCGTTAGGCATGATTTACAGTTTTGCTTCGACTTTTCCTCTCCTGGTTAATGGGTAATGCATTACCTCCAAGATCTCCAAGTTCTACTAAAGTAAACTGGCAGACATGCTTGGGACCTGCCACTAACCTCAACTTTGGAGTGTGGTAGTTGTCAACCAAAGACAGTATCTTTTCTAATATAAGCTATTCTCTATGTGTATAATGTTTTTCCTGAACATATTCACCTGGCACTGGGTGGAATATATCAAGGAGCCCTTTTGTGATTTTATTTATTGTTTATTGTAATTTGCTTGTTTTCTGATTTTAGGGTTTTCTTCCATTTTACTATTTTTCTTAGTTGCTTTAAAAACTAATTGGTGGGAATCTGAACTGATGAATAAATAAATGGAAACATTTCTGTAGCTCTCCCTCAATATTTGAAATGATAGCTATTATATCTATAATACTTACTCATTTCTAAAATGTGTATACTGCACTTCAAAGGCCAACCAGTTGTCTTTATAAAAACAGGGTGTGGATTACCGAATAATTCATAGGAGACTGATACTCCAGAACAGAAAGTGATAGAAAATAGATTAGGCCGTCTCCTGATCTCCAAGTGATTATGCAAGCATTTCCAACTTCAAATAATTGAACAAACATGAATACAAAAGGCCTTCCCTCCTCCTGCCAAGATTAAACTGCTAAAATTAAGAAAACATGCTGCAAAGCAAGAGTAGACATGCATAAAAGCATCAGTATGTGAACTCCAGTACTGGAATTGAAAACAAATTCCTATGCTAAGCATGTGATCACAATGCTGTACTCTCCAGTTTTGTCTGTCTACTTTGGCCACTCTCTTGCACCTGGCTCTACTTGGTGAACCTGGTGGAAAACAAAATAGATCTTACACTGGTCTTGTGGCACTGTAAAGAGTAATGAGTTTTGTTTGGCTTAAGTTTTCATGGGCTCCAACCCACTTTATGAGAGCCATTAAAAATCCAACAACCCAACATCTGCCCAGTTCCTGCTCCCAGGGAGCAAGCGTAACCAACTTCCTAAACTGCAGGTTTCCTAAGTCCAAAACACACTGCAGAAATAATCCAGTTTGAGACCGCTTTAACTGCTCAACACCTTGCAGCCCTCAGGAGAACAGCTGAGCGGCCTGAGTCGCCCTGAGCCGCCCCACCTGTGCAGCTGGGCGAGGGACATTGGCGGCGATAAAAACCCGCCCCGCACCATCTCGCCAGCCCCTCCCGGCAAGCGGCGGTGTTCCAGAGGCCGCGGAGGACTGCTCAAGACCTTGCAGCCCTCGGGAAAATTGCTGAAAGAACACCTGCACGGATGGGGGAGGATCTTTTTCTCAGCAGTTATATAACTTGTATTTTATATTGTATATTTTTAAGTAATTGTTTTTTAATTTGCTCTGTTATTTGTTTTGGGGTGGGGTGGGGGTGGATAGGAGGGATGGGATCTGTATTGATTATATTGTTTGATGTTTGAGTGTTGTACGCTGCCCCGATTGCCTGGCAGAGAGGCGGGATATAAATAAAAATTATAATTATAATTATTATTATTATTATTATTATTATTATTATTATTATTATTATTATTAACTGCCCTGGCTCAGTGATAGAGAATCCTGGAAACTGCAGTTTGTTATGCCACCAGAGCTCTGACAGAGAAAGCTAAATGTCTCACAAAATTACAGTTCTTAGAATTTCCTAGCATTGAGCCTGGGCAGTTAAAGCAATCTCAAACCGGATTATTTCTGCAGTGTGTTTTGGACCTAAGACAGTGAACCAGCTCTTCCTCCAAGCTTGAATCCCTTCACCATGTCACCTTCAAGCGAAATCACTAAATTCTTTGCAGAACAAAACATAATTTTGAAGGCTGAAATGCAAAAATAGAATAATCCAAGTCACTTCTTCCTTCACATAATCCTCTTGTATATTTCAAGCACAGTGGGGCATCTAGTGAACTTTACTGTAAGGACAGGTAACCTTTCACCCTCCAGATCTTAACAGACCCCAACTGCCAAGATGGCTAGGAATTATGAAAAGTGTAATCCAGAAACATCTGAACAGCCACAGAATGCCACTCTTCCTATATAATGAGCTGGAGAGGCTGGACCAGTGTGTCTCTGGTCCAAAACACACTGCAGAAATAATCCAGTTTGAAACCACTTTAACTGCCCAGGCTCAGTGCTACGGACTCCTGGGAATTGTAGTGTACTGTGGCACCAGAGGTCTCTGACAGAAAAGGCTAATACAGTTGCCCAAATCCCCTAGCACTGAGCTAGGCCAGTTAAAAAAGTCTCAAACTGGATTATTTCTGCAGTGTGTTTTGGACCTGTGTGTGTGTATTTGTATCTGCTTTTCTCCCATCTCCTCTACTTTTTCCTTATCTTGTGCTTATCTTTCTTCTCTGACCCCATCCTCCTGTTCTGAAGATCCTAATGTCTGATCCTAATGCTCCTAGGCCTACCACTGTCAGAGCAAAATTTAAGCTCATTTTGGGTCCTGTAGGCATACAAAGAATCTTATAAAAAGTTTGAATCAAGATAACAGCTTTCCTCATGGCTGATTTACCCCCACTGCTCTACATCAAAGGTGAGAGAGGAGAACAAGGCAGCATGAAGACTCAGAACTACAGCCCGTTTGGAGGAAAGCTGTCACTCTTGTTTGTGCATCACACACTGCAATCATTACTGGGAGCAGAACAGCTCACTCCTCAGAATGGCTTGTCACTATCTGGTGCATCAAAGCAGTATGTCTGATGTTCAAAAAGGTATTCTGCAAGAACTAAAAAAAAAAAAAAGATTTAATTTGAATGTTAAACCTTTCAGTGCAAAATACTCAGAAAACGCTGAATGGCATACTGGTTGCTATCCTATGCAGACAACAAGCCCTATTAGATATATTTAACAGCAAAAATACAAAGGATCTGGCTACTCTGCTAGGGAGCCCTTGTTCACACCTCGCCTCCTCCAAAACAGGAACCTAACTGGCTTGTTGTTGTTGTTGTTGTGTGCCTTTGTTTCCTTATGGTGACCCTAAGGTGAATCTGTCACAGGGTTTTCTTGGCAAGTTTTTTCAGAGTGGGATTGCCGTTGCCATTCTCTGAGGCTGAGAGAGTCTGACTTGCTCAGGGTCGCCAATGGGTTTGCATGGCCAAGCTGGGATTTGAACCCTGGTCTCCAGAATCATAGTCCAACACTCAAACACCACTGGGATTTCTTGGCAAGATTTGTTCAGAGTTTGCCATTTCCTCTCCCTGAGGCTGAGAACAAGTGACCTGCCCAAGGTTCCCCAGTGGGTTTTATGGCTGAGCTGAAAATCAAACCCTAGTCTCCAGAGTTGTAGTCCAACACTCAAACCACTATGCCATGCTGGTTCTCAGACGCAGCTGGCAAGACGCTTATATTTCATTCTCAGCACTTTCCTCCCTGCTCCACATAAGAATCACAAGAAGACTGGGATACTTCACACGTCTGTTGCTAAGGATTACTGAGGAAATGTTTGTGAAACACTCCTGAACATCTGAAATGCAGTATACAGGTAAAAGATGTGATCAATTATCTAAATAGCTGCTATCATGCTATCCTCCTTTTCATGATGAATACAGAATTGTTGCTGTATTTCTTTAAATATGTTTGCTAGTTTCTGCTGCTATTTAAAGCCAGGAGAACAAAGGAGAGGGAAGCTAGCCAATCTTGGCTGGTCGTCCGGGGGGGGGGGACGCGTTGAAGATGTTCCTTCGGGACACAATCAACGCGTCATTCAGAGAAGGCAATGTACCATCTTGTTTAAAGGAGGCGGCAGTTAGACCACTCCTAAAAAAGCCCTCCCTGGATCCCCTGGACAGAAACAACTACAGACCAGTCTCCTTGCTTCCTTTTCTTAGCAAGGTGATTGAGAGAGCAGTTGCTTCCCAACTCCAGGCAGTCTTGGATGAAACCGATTATCTTGATCCATTTCAAACCGGTTTCAGAACAGGATTTGGAGTGGAGACTCGCATGGTTGCTCTGACCGATGACCTCCGCTTGAATATCGACAGGGGTAG